ATTATTTTATATTTTTTAAAAGTTTTTGAATATAAAATAGGTAGTTAAATATTTATTTACTTTTTCAATATTAGCTATTTTCACTATACAGCGGAGAGATTTAATAAAGTAAATATATAAAAATAAAAAGTAATTTAAAAATCATATTATCTCTATTATTAACAATGCACTTTAGCAATATAAAATTTGAGATGACTAATTTAAAAATAACAATTTATAGGTACCTCCAAAAAGTTTTACCGATTTTTTTGAAAATTAATAGAATTCATACTATGGTTATCAGAAAAGCCAAATTATATTATTATCAGATTATATTGAGGATTTACTTTATTTATACCAAATTCATGTTCAATGTGAAAGAGAGTTTGTTTATGATTTCAAAAATATCTAATCATTCAAAAAAATTTAAAAAACAATGAAATTTGAATTATGTTTTCTTTAATACACAGACTCTATCTTATTTAAATTTTTGTATATTTTCTTTAATTGTTCATTATCAATTAACCAAGAGATTGGTTAAACAATATATGCGCAAAGTAGAAGTTTCAATTCTATCTAATTTACTTTTAATAGAAAATAATAAGAATCTAAACTATTTATTTTGATATGGAGGAGAAATCTGGAGTACTAACTCCTTTTGAAAAGGGATTAATCATAGGTATGAAGATGGCAGAATGTAGTGTTTAGTTTATTTAAAACGAATTAAAGTAAGTTGAGGTCAATATCTGTGATAAAACTATATATAATGTTTGGAATAAATGGTAAACTCAGAAAACTTATGAAAATGATTATTTAGGAAACTGTGGTAGACCAAAAGTACTTTCAAAAGAGAGTGAAGAGCAGTTAATTTAATTTGTTGGAGCAAACCCTACTGTTAGTTGGAAATAGCTTGAAGATAACCAAATARCCAATCCATAATAAGTTAGTTAATAGACCTTAGTGAGAACTTTAAATGATAATGGCTTTTAATAAATTGTTAGACCTAAAAAAATCTTTATGTCAGAAGAAAATGCGAATGTGAGACTTAAGTGGTGCAAAAATATGTCATTACACGGAAAAAGAATATTAGATAATGCAATATATAGTGACGAAAGTTGGGTCTATTATAGCCATGTTCACAAATAGTATTACTGGACAAAAGATGATTAGGAAATTGAGTATGAGAATTCTTAAATAAAATATAAATGGCCAAAAAAAGTCATGATTTGGGCCTCAATTCATAGAAGTGGACCATTAAGCTTATATTTTATTGAAGGAAATATGAATTAGCATTAATATTTAGACATCCTTTCAGACTTTTTCATTGAAAATAATTTCCTTACTTATACATAAGATAGCTATTTTTAATAAGATAATAGTACATGCCATAAAACAGCTATTATTGATAATTTTTTCTCAAAAAATAAAATAAATGTACTTTAATGGCCACCAAACTCTCCCGATATCTCACCTATCGAGAGTGTATGGTTTACATTAAAGAATATAATTAACTAATAAATTGATGAAATTGACAGCTTTGAATAATTCAAATCAATAATTTAATAAACTTTCTTAAAAAATAAAAAAGTCAAAGATTCAATTTAAAATAGTATAAGAAAGGTTCCAACCATATTAGAAGGTATCATAAAACGTAAAGGTTATCCCTAATGAAATAATTATACTATTCTTATATTCAGTATATGTAACCCCTTGTATTTATTTGAATGGAAAAAATCAGTAAAACTTTTTGGATGTACCGATATTATTAATAGAATTCTTATAATGATGATTTAAAATGGTTTATTTAATATCCAACTTTTTTTTCATGTTTTTACATATGACTAATATAACTTTTATAATTAGTGTAAGGATTAATATCTCTATCTTCAAAACAATTTTTTTGACTACAATAATATTTATTATCTTTAATATTTAGAGTTATATTACATTTTGGTTTATATTATTATATTTTAGTTTTTTCAATTAAATCAATCTAATCTTATGTTATATTATTATATTTACTAA